GGAGGGGGGAACGGATTAACCGGATTTACATTGAACCCTATGGGGAAATTTGCATCGGGTTACAACCAACTCGGGATACACCCAGCGTCACAGAACGGATTAAGTTCATATCCCGAGGTACCACTGTATTGGGTAACCATATTTCTGTTGAGAAAAAGTCATAATGAAATATAGTAAATCACCAATAAAAACATGGGAATGAAGATGAAATTCCCAGTGACACTATTTATAATTTCAGAATGCAGGTTTTGCTAGCTTATATCATGTCCTTAAATCATGTATTACTTAATGTTTCCTTTCAAATCTGATATTTATTCCAAAGGAATATGTTAACATGATACTTACATGGGATAGTTCTCAAGTAAAGATTATCTCTGATAACCTGTTGCAGTTTGTGATCAACTGAACCCTTCTGAAACTGTAGGCTTAGATAATGACGTAAATCTTTGTTGATGACTTTGCCTGTAATAAAAACAAAAAACAAGGTACTATGAAATACTATAATCTGATACCTGATAGATAATATATAATCACTCAAGCTCTTCAATATTCTCATTCTGTATTATTCAGCGATATCCAAAGTACAAAATAAATGTGAGCAGAAAAATATATAAATGAGGTTTATAAATAGTCTACACTTGAAACACGCAGCCTATAATCTGTCCAATTAGTTCACCATGTTTCATTTCTCTTTGACCTTGAGCTTTTCCCATGCCAACAATCTTTTTATGACTATTCTCTTCCAGCATCACTTCATGCATTGTGTTGGGAAAGGTAAGATTTGAAGGTAATTTGGACTAACATACTTTCAGCTTTAGTATAATTTATTCTGAACAATTAGAGTTTTATAAAATAGCACTGAATAGCAGACCCAGTATATTACTATAAATATTACTTTGAAATCTGCAATGTGACATTATGAAAATAAAATCCACAGACCCTTCAGTTTACTCTTGACTAGAAACTCCTAAAACAGAATATTGCTCATGAAAGAATAGCTGGCACTCAGTATGGTGAGTGAAGCTGTAGCACTATGAATAAAGTCAACGTATAAAAGGTTTGCTAAAAACTGGAGGAAAGTTCACAATTTCAGGTACTCTAGGTATACAGGTAGTTCTCACTTAACCACAATAGGGGCTGAAAACTGGTCATTAAGTGGGGTGGTCATTAAGCAAGTTACCACGTGATCAGACCCAATTTAATGACTATTTTTGCGATGGATGTAAAGTGAATCATCATAGTCATGTGGTTGTTAAGTGAATCACATGGTTGTTAAGTGAATCCAGCTTCCCCAATGGACTTTTTTGCCAGAATTCACCTAACCACATGATTCGCTTAACAACCATGTGATTCGTTTAACGACTGCAGTAATTTCCTTTACGACCATTGTAAAAAAGGTGTGTGATCATGTGACTGCAGAGTGGTGCGACGGTTTGTGACAGTCATAAGTGCAAGCACAGACTGTAAAGCACTTTTTCCAAGGCTGTCCTAACTTTGAACTGTTGTTAAACGAATGGTTGTTAAATGAGGACTACCTGTACTCTGTATCAAATAACTTTTATCCATTAAGTTTCAAAAGAAAAAAAAAACATCCATTATTAGGCAGCTTCACATTGGCACCCTGCAACTGTCTATTTTGAGTAAGAATTTCAGAATCTCAATGTAACAAGTACATTATGTATATCATTTTCATTGTAGGCTATATTCTCATCATGGTATTCATGTATTAACAAATATCAGTTTATGAAAACCTTGCTTAGAAAAAATCCTAAAATTCTCTGCTAGGTAAACTTTAATCCTATATTTCTGGTTGATGTGTACAGCTTGTATTAATACTGATCATTAAGTATACAGGATATAATATAGGTGAAATCTATTTATATCATTTATCAGCTTCAGTTTATTTATTTATTTATTTATACATCACATTTATACAGCCGCCCATCTCACAAAGCTACTCTGGGCGGCGTACAACAATTAAAATAAAATAACAAATGAATACAAACAAGTATTATAAAAAGATAAAAAATTATTATTAGAATAAAAACATTATTACAAATTTTAAAAAAAGAATTAAAAAAAAATTAAAATATACAAGCCCCACGGAGGGAGCAGAATATCAATTACAGCGGAGCCATCTAAGAATGTCTTCAGTTCCCAAGGACCCCCAGGCCTGATGACCCAACCAGGTCTTGAGGGACTTCCTAAATGACAGCAGGGAAGGGCAAGCCTAACATCAGGGGGGAGAATGTTCTACAAGGAGGGAGCCATGGCAGAGAAGGCCCACCTCCTGGGACCCACCAAACGCAAGTTCCTGGGCGATGGAATGCATAGCATATCTTCCCTGCCGGATCTGGATCTAACAGGGCAGGCCAATGTGATCAGGGAGAGGCAGTCCCTCAGATAACCCAGCCCCATGCCATGAAGGCCTTTAAAGGTCAAAACCAGCACCTTGAATTGGGCCCAGAAGCAAACCGGCAGCCAATGCAACTTGTGAAGCAGAGGTGTAATGTGTGCTCTTCTAGGAGCACACGTAACTGCCCGCGCTGCTGCATTCTACACCAGTTGAAGCTTCCGGATATTCTTCAAGGGCAGCCCCATGTATAGCGGATTACAGTAGTACAATACTTTTAATACTTTTATTTAATTTCCCATAACAAATAGCCACTATATATAATTATTTTTAAAAGCAATTCTGATAGTTTACAATCTAACAAAGCTACAAAAACTTTACAAAATCCAACATTCTTTCACAGCTGAAAACAAACTTTGTTTTTTTAAAAAAATAATAAAAATCCATTAAGGGTGCTGTTTTTAACATGAGAGATTCTGACATCAAGCAATGTAAAATATTTTTCCTAATCCTAATATTTTTTTTTCCTCTGTGTGGTTTTAATCATGTTTTTAATTGTGATTTTATCTGTAAACCTCTGTAAGCGTTGAAGTTGATGTCACACTGTGGAGATATATATATATATATATACACACACACATACATACATACATACATATACAATACTGTGCAAAAGTACTGTACTTTTTAGGCAGGTGTGAAAAAATGCTGTAAAGTAAGAATGCTTTCAAAAATATACAGTGGTACCTCAGTTCACGAACTTAATTTGTTCCACGATTCTGGTCGTGAG